ATGCCAAGGGATCGCTGAAGCCCGTGACTAACTTTGGTGATCCCTGGAACCTGGGTCTTCTGTTTCATTTTTCAGGGAGAAGGGAAGGCACCTCCCCTTTTGGAACAATCCAAGGGAAATTTCCGTACATGGAGCCTTGAAATCTCTTTTCCCTAGTCTACAGCCTGGGTTTGTAATGCAGGATTGTCACATTACCGAAATGGAGGGAAGCAGCCAGATCGCTGCTGCACCCCTAGGTGGGGGTGTTGGCCCCAGAAATTGGTATGAAAGGGAGCCATGTGGGGTATTGAATGGGAGCTTGTTGTTTTCTGATCCTGTGTACACTGTTTATGTGAGTATATAATGTCTGTGTGTGTAGATCTTTAATCTGTGTGGAAGCTGAATATTTCTGCTATCAGACGTGACACGGTTAAAGCTGCTGCAGACAAAGCCAAACAACTAAAACTCCCTGATGGCCAAGTGGCCCCAAGGGAAGGTACAAACATGCTGCATAAAGGCAGTTGCTGCCCTACTTGAACACACACTGCCTGCTTCCTGTGCAACTTCTCGGGCGACTCCTTGTGCTGTAGGGTGAAGACCTCTGGTGCCAGCGGCTCCCTTCTAGCAGGAACTGGGTACGTTGGCAGGTTTCTGTAACATGCCAAGTGCAGGGCAAAGGCTGCAGGCTGTTTGCATTGGCAGATGTTCTGTGCAGCGGGAGAGGACTTATCTGGGCTGTTAGGGTAATTCAGTGATGGGGTTGGGGGGTAGGCAGTACTTGGAAAATAAGAAACCCTCCTCTACATCTAACCCTACCCCATGATTCACTGTAAGGCTGTGTCCAGACTCAGGGGTTTTTTCGAAAAAACTTCACCTGCGTCTAGACTGCAGCCGCGTTCTTTCGAAATTAAATCGAAAGAACGCAGCTTTTCTTTCGATGGCGGTAAACATAATTCCACAAGGAAGAACGCCTTTTTTTGAAAGTGCTCTTTTGAAAAAAGGTGTTCTTTAAAGCAAACAGGGCTTTTTAGAAAAAGAGCATCCAGACTGCCTGGGTGCTCTCTTTCGAAAAAGCGGCTTTCTTTTTCGAAAGTTCCGTGTGCAGTCTAGATGCTCTCTTTCGAAAGAGGCTTGCAGTCTAGACATAGCAGAATTCGGGCACTTACACATAGCTCGGAGTGCTGATAATCTCATGCCCTCAGTCAAGTGGTGCCATGCTCCAAAGGTACACAGAAATCTGGCAATCCACTGTCCCTTGCCCTGCCTCCTTTGCTTAACCTGGATTTGAAATAAGAAGCTGAGACAGTCATCAAGTGAACTCATTTAGTCTCATTTCTTACCTGTCTCATTGTACTAAAAGCCCTATCTGGGTGTGGGAAATGCACCACCCGGCATCTTTGTTCTTCACACTTATTAGTAAGTATGCGAAAGTATTAAATTTCAAACCCAAAATTCTATCGCAGGCTAAAAAACAGACTCTAATGCTAAGAACCCTCTCTGACCTGAGAAATCATCTCTGAGAGATCAGAGCGGAAAATGGGTAGATGTGTGTACACTCATGTAAAGATGTGAAATCGTATGCCAAACATTTTCATCATATTAGAAATATTCCCAGCCAAACTTTGATGTCATGCATGCATATTGGAAGCCAGCAGCAGAGTTGTTAGAATCTCTACAGGAAGGATCAGTGGTAACTTTGCTGCTTAATGGGTTTTGGTTTAGAAAATATTGCAGATGTACGCTAAATATATTGTCTGCAATGTGTTTGTGCTATGAACATAAGAACATAAGAATGGCCATACTGGGTCAGACCAAAGGTCCATCTAGCCCAGTAGCCTCTCTGCCAACAGTGGCCAGCACCAGGTGCCCCAGAGAGGGTGGATCAAAGTCAATGATGAAGCGATTTGTCTCGTGCCATCCATCTCCCGCCTCTGACAAACAGAGGCCAGGGACACCATTTCTATACCCTGGCTAACACCCTTTTATGGACCTAACCTCCATGAAATTATCTAGCTTCTCTTTAAACTCTGTTATAGTCCTAGCCTTCACAGCCTCTTCTGGAAAGGAGTTCCACAGGTTGACTACGTGCTGTGTGAGGAAGAATGTTCTTGTATTAGTTTTAAACCTGCTACCCATTAATTTCATTTGGTGTCCTCTAGTTCTTCTATTATGGGAACTAATAAAAAACTTTTCTTTATTCACCCTCTCCACACCAATCAGCCCTCTCTACACCACTCATGATTTTATAGACCTCTATGATATCTCCTCTCAGTCTCCTCTAATCTAAACTGAAAAGTCCCAGTCACTTTAGCCTCTCTTCATATGGGACCCGTTCCAAACCTCTAATCATTTTAGTTGCTCTTTTCTGAACCCTTTCTAAGGCCAAAATATCTTTTTTGAGGTGAGGAGACCACATCTGTACACAGTATTCAAGATGTGGGCGTACCATAGTTTTATACAGGTGCAGTAAGATATTCGGTGTCTTATTTTCTATCCCTTTCTTAATAATTCCTAACATCCTATTTTCCTTTTTGACCGCTGCTGCACACTGTGTGGAAGTTTTCAGAGAACTATCCATGATAACTCCAAGATCTCTTTCCTGATTTGTTGTAGCAAATTAGCCCCCATAATACTGTACGTATAGTTGAGGTTATTTTTTCCAACGTGCATTACTTTACACTTATCCACATTACATTTCATTTGCCATTTTGTTGCCCAATCACTCAGTTTGGTGAGATCTTTTTGAAGTTCATCACAGTCTGCTTCTGTCTTGACTATCTTAAACAATTTAGTATCATTCACAAACTTTACCACCTCACTGCATACCCATTTCTCCAGATCATTTAAGAATAAGTTGAACAGGATTGGTCCCAGGACTGACCCTTAGGGGACACCACTAGTTACCCCTCTCCAATCTGAAAATTTACCATTTATTCCTACCCTTCATTTCCTATCTTTTAACCAGTTCTCAATCCATGAAAGGACCTTCCCTCTTATCCCATGGCAATGTAATTTACACAAGAGCCTTTGGTGAGGGACCCTGTCAAAGGCTTTCTGAAAATCTAAGTACACTCTATCTACTGGATCCCCCTTGCCGCATGTTTGTTGAGCCCTTCAAAGAACTATAATAGATTAGTAAGACATGATTTCCCTTTACAGAAACTATGTTGACTTTTGTCCAACAAATTATGTTCTTCTATATGCCTCACAATTTTCTTCTTTACTATTATTTTGACTAATTTGCCTGGTACTATGAACTCTTTGTTCAGCCAACAGTTGTATGATAGTGTTTCGTAGTAAATGACTTATCCTGTAATGCCTTGATACTAAAAAATATATATGCATAGTATCATGAGCAAAACCCACTTTGTCAGATGAGCAGAGTGGAGAGAAAAGCGGGGACCCTCTCAATTTATAAGAGAAAAAGAAGGGAGAGGGAGAAAAAAGTGACTGTTAACTGTAGAGTTGGTGCTAATGAGACTAACTGAATGGGCAGAAAGGGTCCCATACTTAATTTTTTATGTTGTTTGGGTGTTGAATGTTAGGAAACCAGATTTTATAATGGCCACTCAACTCATGTCTTTGTTTAAGGCCACTCTCTCTCTGGAGTTGGTCTTTGAAAATACTTTTGTAGTAAAATGGCAACTTTAAAATCCATTAATGAGTGCCAGGTAGGGTAAAAGTTTCTCCTACAGGTTTCTGTGTGTTACCATTTCTGATACTTGATGTGTGTCCATTTAGCCTTTGTCATTTAGCCAGTTTGGCCAATATACATGGCAGAGGGGCATTGCCGGTAGTAGATGGCACAGATCACTATTAGAGGATGTGCTATTGTATGAGCCTCTGATTTTGTGGGTTATGTGGTTAGACCCTCTCATGTTGTCTCTTGTGTAGATGTGTGGACAGAGTTGGCACTAGGGTCTATTGCCGGAATAGGTTCTCGGGTGAGTACGATTGAGGTGTCATGCGTGGTTGCTGAAAAGAATTTGTTTCAGGTTAACAGGTTGTCTATAGGTGAGGACTGACCTGTTTCCCAAAGCCTATGAGAGTGAAGACAGGGTGTAGATTGTCATTGATTCAATGGAGGGGTTTGAGCTGCGGGTGTAAGCGATGACTCATGGTGTTCTGTTATTTTCCTTATGGGGCTTGTCCTGAAGAAGCTGATGCCTGGCTACTCGTCTGGCTCTAACAATCTGTTTCTTCACTTCTCCGACTAGGTATTTTAAGAATGCCTGACTAAGATCCTGTCGGTGTTTGCCTCTGTTCTGCCTCCAACTTCCTGTAGTCAGCCCCTGGTCAGTTTCAGCAGCAGCGGCTGAATCTGGGGCCAGTTCCGACTTACATACAAATTCAACTTAAGAACAAACCTATAGTCCCTATCTTGTACGTAACCCGGGGACTGCCTTATATAAATGGGGTCAAGAGTTTATGGGGATTCAAAGAGAGGCTGGGTATTTATATGGGTAACCAGTAAATCAAATTTAAGAAGATTTTCTGAGGAGTCCAGGAAGGTCTATCAACAGTTGTGATTTGCCTCCCAAAATAGCTCAAATTTATGAGTCTCGGGAGAGAGGGAGCTTTCTTTGGAGAAGGTCATTCCATAGGTACCTATTGTAGAGCTTCTTCTAATTCATATACAGGTTCTAGTACAAACCAATGGATACAGGAACAATGGGTCTCACCCAACCTGTCAGCCAGTGTTCACTCCAAGTGGAGCCAGAACACAGCCCCCCTGCTGATTAATCAGCACCGCCCACTCAGAGGCTCAAAGCTCTGTATGTGGGGCTGTGTTGATGCATAGCTGGGAGGGAACACTGCTGAGAGTCAGTAACTTCCTATCAGAGGTGTCAATCCAAGACTACGATTTTGCTCATTTTCCTTGAGATACTGGGATTCTTGTGTCACAGCTACCCGCTACGTTCTCACAACAGAGTGACGGCTAGTAAAATATTATCTAAACTCTTATTCTTTTTCTTCTCAGGAAGGAAAATTCAAAACTCCTCAAATCTATCCAGTACATCATGTTAGCTCTCAATGATACCAGATACATGCCTGCAGTGTTCCTTCTCACTGGGCTAGAGGGGCATGAAGACATCCATATATGGATCGCTATCCCTTTGTGCCTTATTTATGCCATATTGATAATAGGAAATACAGGTATTCTGTTCATTATAAAAACAGATTCAAGCCTTCATGAGCCCATGTACATTTTCCTTTCCATGTTGGCTGTCACAGATCTTGGCTTAGCAATGACCACCATGCCGACAATACTGGGCGTATTCTTGTTCAACTCCCGGGAGATCAGCTTCGATGCCTGTTTTGCCCAAGTGTTCTTCATCCACGCGCTAGCATATGTTGAATCCTCTGTGCTCCTATCAATGGCCTTTGACCGTTTCACTGCAATCCATGACCCGCTGAGATACACTTCCATCTTAACCCTGCCCAGAATAGCCAAGATGGGACTGGTGTGTGTGATAAGAGGGGTGGCTTTACAGTTCCCTTTCCCCTTTCTCCTGAAACGGTTCCAATACTGGCGAGCCAATGTTGTCTCCCATTCCTACTGTATGCACAATGATGTCATGAAACTGGCATATGCAGACATCACTGTTAACAATATCTTTGGCTTTTTCATAATACTCTCCTCTGTGGGGTTGGACTCTTTCCTCATCTTCCTCTCATATGTGATGATTCTCAAAACAGTGCTGAGCGTTGCATCCCATGGGGAGCGAATCAAGGCCCTGAACACCTGTGTCTCCCACCTCTGTGCCGTCCTGCTCTTTTATATACCAATGGTCAGTCTGGCTGTGTTACGCAGATTTGGAAATAGCTCAACTCACTGGCTTCAGATTTTCTTTGGATACATCTATGTGCTGGTGCCACCCCTGATGAACCCGATTGTGTACAGCATGAAAAGCAAGCAGCTACGTGTGAGGATCATCAGGATGTTCGTCAAGTAAAGAGTCAGCTCATTGCATGGGCCCAGGTGCGATGATGAAGGAGAAGATAATTATGGATCACAAGATATGGTCTACTCATCTCCATTCTATGGAGAGAGGTTCAGATGGGTTGGACCCAAGGGAGGGGTGGTTTTTAGGGTGGAAACTGGATGGCTAATTAGTTGGCCTACAAAAAGCCATATTGGCAGCTGCTCTTACCTCAGGATTCTTCTTTGATACAGCAAAATAGAGAAGGGATTTGTATGTTGTTTCCCATGACACCTGCACTGATAACATGTCTGTGTCTCACCCACAGATAACTGATGTGCCATCACAGTCCTGACCTTTTCTGACCTCTGGATGGTGTATGATCCAAACTGGTGGTACTCTTTATGGACAGGGGCTATTTTAGAGGACCCCTATGCCCTCAGCCAGGTTCTAGTGACTGAGTCATAAAAGAGACTTGCTTAATGCAGGAGCTACAGGACAAGCCAATAGAGGTTTCCACTGATGGCTATGCACATAGCACACCTGCTGATCCTACCCCCACAGGGAGAGTGGAAGGTGTGAGGGAGGGTCTGACACACAGGAATCCTAGCAGGAGACTCAAGCCCAGATTCCCTGCCCAGTGTGTCCATTTGTGCTTCCCCAGCAATGAAAAGGGTTGGAAAGTCTCTTTTTCTCCCTCACAAAGGCCTTTCTAGGTCATCCCCCAGCCCAGCCCATTCTGAGTACGGTGACCATTTTTGAAAAAGGCAAAAGTGGGACCCAGGCAGGAACCCCATCTACTCTCTATCCTCTGCCTTGTCACTTTCATTCTCTTTTCCTACTCATCCTCTACCCGCAAGTTTCCTGGCCCTCCTGCTCCTCACCTTCCCGCAAGCTCTGCCCTCTGACCAGGCTTCAAACTGGAACTAGGCCATGGTAAGAGCTGCCCAGGGACTCAGGATCCTCCACCTGCCTTGGATGAAGGTTAGCAGGCACAAGAGCATCTCCTAGCCCATCTTCTTCCCCCAAAGCACACCCCCATGGGAATGTGGAGAGTTTGGGGCTCTGCACAGCAGGCTGGCTTCCCTGGGCAGCTCCTAAAATGGACAGTTTCTGGCTCTGCAGGGAACCAGGACCTCAGGGGAAAAGGAGGGGCAGAGGGAGGGAGCTTCAGGGGAAGAAATGGTATGGGGTCAGATCTCAGGAGAAAAGAAGAAGCACACAACTTGCCCTCTCATGCCGTGGCTAATGAAGCCATATACTGGACATCTTGAACCCAACAAAGGCTGATTTAATACCTGCTTGGGCAGGGCCTGCATGCAGGTGGAGTGCACCTTTGGGTATCTCAAGGCATCGTTCAGATGTGTCCTGACCTACCTGGATGTGCGGGAGCAGAACATCCCCCAGGCGGTGTCCGTGTGTTGTGTGCTCGGCAAAACAGTTGAGAGGAAGGGGGAGGCCTTCCTTTTAGGTTGGAGGGCTGAGGCCAGCCAGGAAGGAAGGACCTTCGAGCCGCCATGCACAGCTGCCATCCATCAGGTCCATCAGGTGGGGGCATGCATCCAGGGGGCCCCAAGAAAGAGTCTCTCACACTCTCCCAAGGGCCTCCCCACTACGGATGTGTGCCATGCCCCTCTCTGCCTTTCCTCCAACAACCCCTCCCTTCCCCCTCCACCCCTCTCCTCTGCAGAGACCATTAAAAAACTGTTTTGTTTTGAAAAACAGTACTGTTTGGTTATTTATTTGGGCTAGAAGTCAATGGAGAAGGACCAGGGAAAGAACCTGGAAATGGGGAGCGGAGAGGGGGGAGGGGTGGGGATGATAACCTTGGAGGGGGGAGGGAGCAGAAAGGGATAGAGGGAGCTGAAAGGGGGAGGAGAGGCTCAGGGCTGGGGCTGTGAGTGGCACATGGCTCAGGTAGTTTCTCTGCCTCATGTGTGGGGAATTCAGTGACCATGGGGATGGAGAGGTCTGGGGAGACTAGTGGGAGAAGCAGGAAGGTGGACTGGAGCAGGGTCTGGCATGGGGAGTGCAAGGTCAAGCATGGGAGTGGGGGCAGGACCAGGAACCAGGACTGGGGCAGGAGAGGCAGCAGGAGTTGGCTCTGGGTGGGTGAGGAGCATCTGCATGGTCATGCACGTGTTCCGTCCTGCTACAGCAACTCCATCCACGTCTCTCTCCTCCACTGCATGTCCTCCCGGACCTTCTGGACCAGCATGTCGTGCAGGACCCGGAGTATGGAGATGTGTTCCCACATCAGGTCTTCCTGGATCCTCCAGTGTGTGCAGCTCCCCTGGTCTATCTCGGGTGGTGTTGCCTGCCCCCCTGTCACAGCTGGTCCAGCTGGGGAGAAGAAAGAGATAGTCAGTCATTCCTGAAGACACTATCCCTGAAGCCTTGCTCTCATATGTGAGCCGAGACCAACAGTTACGGGGGCAGAGGAAGCTGATGTCCTTGGAGCATGCTTCTCCCCTCCCCACATCCCAGGGACAAGCAGGCATGGGAAGTTGCCAGCTATACTGGGATCCAGTGGGCACGGGGAGGGGCTTGGTCTGGCTTTGCTTGACTCAGTGCTGTGCAGTCCAGGCAGTGGTGGCATCCCAAGGGGAGAGAACTTGTATCCTTGGATGCTGGGATATAAGGGTATGTCTACACTACCACCCTAGTTCGAACTAGGGTGGTTAATGTAGGCAAACGGAGTTGCAAATGAAGCCCGTGGAACGAGGTGTACCGGTAGTTCGGAATAGGAAGCCTAATCCGAACTACCTAGTTCATGCCAGGTGGAGCCGTGGGCACGGAGTCCAAACTAGCGGACATTTAAAAATGGCGGCGCCCGGCAATATGCAAATGAAACCCAGGAAATTCAAATCCCGGGCTTCATTTGCAACTTTGGTTGCCTACATTAACCACCCGAGTTCGAACTAGGGTGGTAGTGTAGACATACCCTAAGGGATGAGGGTGTGGAGGGACAGGATGGCGTGTGTAGCAGACACACCTACACCTGGGAGAGCTGTCCCCGGGAGCGTGGGCTGCTTCAAGCATGCAGGCATTCCAGAGTCTGTGTGCATGCGCGTCCTTGTCCCCAGCCTCCTTCTAGCTGTGGGTTGTGGTGGGAGGGTGTCCCCTCCCGGTGTCTGAAGTGTGGCAGGCTTCAGCTTCCTGTGAGCAGGAGCCCAGGGGTGCTCAGAGGCAGCCTCCTGGGCCTGTGTGATGCAAACTGGTGCGGCATGTGCAGCCCAATTCCCCAGACTGGGAAGGATGAGCCAGGAGTGCACCCCAGCCCCTCAGCACCCGCCACCTCCACTCTGTCTGTGTGAGAAAACTAATTTCTGAGTCTTGGGAGAGGGGGAGCTTTCCTGGGAGCAGGTCATTTCATAGTTGCCTACTGCAGGGCTTCCTCTACTTTATCTTCAGGTTCTGGTACTAGTCACTGGATACAGGACTACATGGGCCACAGGTCTCACTCAATCTGACAACCAGCGAAATCTGTGTTAACCCCCAAATCTGACAGCCAGCCAGCTCCATGCAGCACTGACCACCATGCTCCCTAGTGGGTAGCCTCATTCTGGGGACTGTTGGTGTAGGGGGGGCAAAGGTGTGTTGGATGAGGGCATGGTGGGGTCATGGGGCAAGAGAGTGTTGGCACAGGCTATAGGAGTCTGAGGGTAAAGGTCAAAGGACATGGGGCATAGGAATGGCATCAAAGGGCATTAGGCACTGAGGAGCAAGGGACTGGGTTTGGGGTAGGTGGTGAGCTAACATTGTATTTGCATATTTATTATTTGCAATATCAATATGTAAATATGCAAATACAATGTTACCAGTCCGCCAAAGGTTTATGAATCCGTTTGCCGGTCTCCTGCATAAAAAAGGTTGGGAACCACTGGACTAGTCGACTCCCCGCAAACATCTCTAAATAGCATTGCAAGGTCCAGCACTCAGAAGTCAAATGCCAGAATTACAGGAGTGGTGAGGGGAAAGTGAATAAATGTTGTTTACCCCTTCAAAAACATCCAGGGTTATCCCAAAAAGCTAATATGCAACAGATTTCAAACAAACCAAAGGAAGTATTTCTTCTGACGATGCACACTGACCCTGTGGAATTCATTGCCATGGGATGTTGTGCAAGTCAAAAGTACACATTGATTAAAAAAAAAAAATAGATAAATTCTGAAGAGAATTCCATCAGTGGCTATTAGCCACGAAGGACAGAGAAGCAACCCATGTCCATGAAAATGTACCCCCAAAATGGATGAAAAGGAAACATTTTTGTTTCGGTGACAAGTTTTTCTAGGCGGAGGGTGGAACGCTCAGTTGTCCTGCCCAACTGTAGCTGAAACCATGAACCTCTATCATTGGTGTTACTGGGCCACACCCCTAGGTGGCAGCACTCACCTCGCATGAACCTTCCACTTACTAGACCCTGGACATCTGCTAGCTAGCGTGTATCAACTCTAAGACCAAGGGGTCCCTTGGAACAGGCTTGTCTGCAGCAGCCCGTCCACCATGCAATAAATTAAGAACATAAGCATGGCCAATGACTTTTCTAGCTCAGTGTCCTGTCTTATGACAGTGCTTGTGCCGATACTTCTGATGCTATTTTGACTGTCTCTTAGGGTGTGTCTAGACTACAGGGTTTTGTCGACAAAAGTCCACTTTTGTCGACAAAACTAAACCTGCATCTACACTACCGCTGAGTTCTGTTGACATAACGTTGACAGAACTCAGCAGTTTTGTCGACACTGGTAAACCTCATTTTACGAGGAATAACTCCTTTTGTCGACAGAATTCTTCGACAGAAGGCATTATTGCATCTAAACTGTCCTTTGTGTCCACACTGTTATGTCGACAAAGCAGCTTGCTTTGTCGACAGAACTGAATGTAGTCTAGACGCTCTTTGTCGACAGAAGCTTTGTCGACAGTATCTGTCGACAAAACCCTGTAGTCTAGATGTACCCTCATATTCATCATAGTGGTGCTATTATGTTAGGATACTTAAGAGGGAATGAACAAAATAGGATAATTATTGAGTGATCTGTGCCTGTTATTCATCATAGTGGTGTCATTATGTTAGGATACTTAAGAGGGAATTAACAAAATAGGATAATTATTGAGTGATCTGTGCCTGTTGTCTGCTCCTATCAATGTTTTGAGGGAAATATACGTATATGGAGCCTTGTAGGATCTCCCTTCCCCGGCCTGCACCTTGGGTTTGCGATCTAGGAAAATAAGGCTGCAAGGGAGAAATTTGGTCCTATATTTTTATTATTCATTATTATTCTTATATTGTATTTTAATTCAGCAAGATCAGAGTTGTCACAGCATCACCATTACTACTCAGCTGCCCCCAAGGGAATCATGGGACTAATCGGAACCATTGGAACTGTGATGACATGCCTGCATTCCAAGAATGAAGTCTAGCAAAGTGGCATCCCTTGTGAGCTGGATTAAGTAGTTTGCTATTTGATGTGATGGTGTTAAAGATGATGCAAAGAAATGCAAGCAGCTGAGGTTCCCTGATGGCCAAGTGGCCTCAAGGGAAGGTACAAACATGCTGCATAAAGGCAATTGCCTCCCTGTCTGAACAAACACTGCCTGCTGCTCGTGCATCCTCTCTGATGACTCCTACTCTTTACGGTGAAGACCTCTGGTATCAGCAGCTCCTTTATAGCAGGAATTGGGTACGTTGGCAGGTTTCACTGTCTGTAATATATGAAGTGCAGGGCAAAGCCTGCAAGTTGTTTCCATTGGCAAATGTGACAGAGGACTCAGCTGGGCTGTTGGGGTGACTCAGTGATGGGGCTGGAGGGCAGGCAGTGCTAGACAGCTTGGGAGCCCTCCCTGCATTTACCCCGAGGGTTATTTAAGCTACATAGACACCTGGCACTCACACAGATCTCGGAGTATTGATAACCTGTTGCCCTGAGTGAAGTTGTGCCATGCTCCATAGTGGGTTACTCAAGGTACACAGAAATCTGGCAATTCATTGTTCCCTGTCCGTCCTTTGCTGAACCTTGATTTGAAACAAGAAGCTGAGACAGTCATCAAGTGTGTGTTCAGACATTAAAGTGCCCTCACCTGCAACAATTTTAGTTCCGTTCCTTACTTACCTCACTGTACTAAAAGCCCCATTTGGGTGTGGGAAATGCATCTTTCGTCTTCACACATATTAGTAAGTATGTGAAAATATTAAAAGCCAAACCCAAAATTCTATCTCAGGCTAAAAAACAGACTCGGTCTTCACACATATTAGTAAGTACATGAAAGTATTAAAAGCCAAACCAAAAATTCTATCTCAGGCTAAAAAACAGACTCTAATGCTAAGATTTCACTCTGACCTGAGAAATTATCTCTGAAAGATCTGAGAGAAAATTGGGTTCACAGGTGTGCACTCATGTACAGATGTGAAATCAGATGCCAAACTTTGTCATCATAATAGTAATATTTCCAGCCAAACTTTGATGTCATGCATGCATATTGGAAGCCAGCAGCAGAGTTGTTAGAATCTCTGAATCATATGCCAAACTTTGTCATCACGATAGTAATATTCCCAGCCAAACTTTGATGTCATGCATGCATATTGGAAGCCAGCAGCAGAGTTGTTAGAATCTCTACAGGAAGGATAAGTGGTAACGTTGCTGCTTAATGGGTTTTGGTTTAGAAAATATTGCAGATGTACTCTAAATACTGTCTGCAATGTGTTTGTGCTATGAACTCTTTGTTCAGCCAACAGTTGTATGATACTGTCATGTAGTAAACAACAAGTAGCCCTCTGGCACCTTAGAGAGAAAAGGGAGGCTCTTTTAATTTATAAGGAAAAGAGGAGAGGAGGGAAAAGTATCTGTTAATTGTAGTGTTGGTGCTAATGAGGCTAACTGAGTGTCCCAAACTTAGATGTTGATGTCAACTGGGTGTTGAATGTAAGTAAAACAAGTTTTGTAATGGCCCATCCAGTTCATGTCTTTGTTCAAGCCATGGCTTTATGTAGTATCATTTCTGATATCTGACAAGTGTCCATTTATCCTTTGTCGTAGAGATGCTCCAGTTTGGCCAATATACATGGCAGAGAGGCATTGCTGGTAGTTGGTGACTTAGATCACAGTAGTGGATGTGCAGCTGTATGAGCCTCTGATGTGGTGGCTTATGTGGTTAGGTCCTGTGATAGTTTCACTTGTATAGATATGTGGACAGAGTTGGCAACGTGTATATTGTAGGATGAAAGTGTTTGAGTTGTGGTGTGTGGCTGCTGGAAATAATTTACTTCAGATTAGGCGATTGTTTGTAGGTGATAACTGGCCTGTCTTCCAAGGCCTGTGCAAATGACGGATATTTTTATCAGGATAGGTTGGAGATTGTCAGTGATGTGTTGGAGGGGTTTAATCTGGGGTGCCATAGGTAATGGCTAGTGGTGTTCGCTTATTTTTGGTGTTGGTCCTGTCTTGATGTAGGTAGCTTCTGAGTACTTGTCTGGCTCTGTCAATGTTTTTCTTCACTTGCCGAGGTGGGTATTTAAGTTCTAAGAATGCCTGAGAAAGATCCAGTAGGTGTTTGTCTTTTTCTGTGGGATTGGAGCCAATCTGAATGTATCTAAGGGCCTGGCTCTAAACAATTGATTGTATGATGTGTCCTGCATGCAAGCTAGAGGAAGGTAGGCAAAAATAACAGTCAGTAGGTTTTCGGTATAAGGTGGCCATCATTTAATGATGTAGTGTCAAGGAAGTAAATCTCTTGTGTGGCTTTGACCAGGCTACGGTTGTGGAAGTTGTGGAAATCCCTGTGGAATTCTTTAAATGTCTCCTTTTAGTGTGTCCATATGATGTCGTTAATGTAGTGTAAGTAGAGGAAGAGTGCTGGGGAGGAGAGCTGAGGAAATGTTGTTTTAGGTCAGTCGTAAAGATGTTGGCATATTGTATGGCCATGCAGGTACCCATAGCTGTGCCACAGACTTGAAGATATAAATTGTTCCCCAAATTGTAAATAGTTGTGGGTAAGGACAAAGTCATGTTGCTCAGTCACCAAGTGTGCTGTGGCATCATCAGGGATATTTTTCTTCACAGCTAGTAATCAATCATCATGTGGAATGCAGGTGCAAAGAGCTTCTACATCCACGGTGGCCTGGATGGTGTTTCAAGAGAATTAATGATAATCTGTAGTTTTCTCAAGAAATCGGTGTCTGGAAGGTCTCTACGAGTGCTGATAGCACAGGGTCTGATGAGAGAGTCAACGTAACCAGATCATCCTGCTGCTACCATAACAGTTCTCCTGATTCATTTTCTATGGCTTTATAAAATGGGCCACACTCAGAAATGGAGAACTAGAAATGGTATGTTTGGGTTATCATTTGCATATCACACAGTGCTCAAGTAGGACATCGATAGAATCATAGAATCATAGAACTGGAAGAGACCTCAGAAGGTCATCAAGTCCAGCCCCCTGCTCTAGGCAGGACCAATTCCAACTAAATCAACCTGGCCAGGGCTTTGTCAAGCCGAGACTTAAACACCTCTAGGGATGAAGACTCCACTACTTCCCTAGGTAACCCATTCCAGTGCTTCACCATCCTCCTAGTGAAATAGTTTTTCCTAATATTCAACCTGGACCTCTCCCACCACAACTTGACACCATTGCACCTTGATATCCCAGCCACAATATATTAACAGGATCAAGTGGTATTTGGAAGGCAGCTAGGAGTTCTGAAGGCATGGGGTCGGATGAAAGAGTCGACATCAAGAGATAATCTTGCTGTAAGAGTGCCGATGTCTGCAATGGTTGGACACCTGGGATTTTCGGGATCTACTATATCCTTTTCAGACAGTGGCACACTTACATCCATGGTTGCGCAGTCACTCACTTTGCAATATCTGTGTAAGTCTTTTCAAAAAGTCCTCAGAGAACAGAACCACTGGTCTGTGTTTCAGCAAACAGTGGACGGGGGGTGCAGGGAAGGAGAATCTCTCCGTTGTTGAATGTGATTGAATCCCATCACCTGTTAAACGAGCCTGCTTTAAGTAATGTTCACACTCAGCTGGGTATTAGGGCAAACTTAGTGTTTGCACTATTCACACATTTCTGACATTATCCCATTCCTCACCCAGCTGAAGCAACCGTCTGTCTCGTTTTTTGTTAACATGCCAGATACCTACAAATCCCAGAATGGAGATTAGATATAGACTGAGGAGAAACTGTTAGGATGATTGAATGCTCTGGTTTCAGTCACCACTGGCCAGGCAAAGCCCAGCAGCTTGAGTTGGAGGGATTCTTGGAGGGTAACAGTGTATCACTGGGAGTATTTGATAAGGGCGAGTTAATAGAAGTTTATTCTGATCAAATTTACATGTATAAACCTGGCATTGCTGAATGTAATGTTACTGTGTCCAGAAGCTGACCTTAAGAATTAATCCCATGTACAGAAGAGAGGCAGAGGCATAACTGGGAATTTCAGGACTGGAGAAAATATTAGAATATCTATGATAAACAGCTCTAAAAAAGGACTCATAAATACCATGACAGTTCTTCCCATCCACTTTCCATGGTATTATACAATGGACCACACTCAAAAATGGAGATCTAGAAATTGTAGGTTTGTGAAGGTCAAGACTGTAAAAACCACACTGTGGTCAAGCAGGACATGGAAATCCGAGCCACAATGTATCACTGGGGTCAACAGCTTACCAGGATTCGAGGAGGGGATGGATATTTATATGGGTAGCCAATAAGTCAAATTCCAGTCATGAGAATTTTCTGAGGAGTCCTGGAAAATCTATAAATTGTTGTGAATTGCACCCTAAAATAGGTCTAATTTCTGGTTCTCGGGTGGGGTGGAGCTTTCCTAGGATGAGGTATCACATAGCTGCCTATTTCAGAATTTCCTCCACTTCATCTGGAGGTTCTAATACAAGCCACTGGAAACTGGGCTATATGGACCATAGGTTTTACCCAATTGGACAGCCAGTGTTCCTTCTGAACTGCATGGCAGCACAGCCCCACAGTTGATTAATCAGACCCACCCAGTCAAAGGGTCAGGGATCTGTGCATGGGGCTGTGTTGCTGTGCAGTTTGAAGGGAACATTGCTGTCAGCACTTAATGTCCTATAAGAGGTGTCAATCCAAGACTATGTTTTTGCTCATCTTCTGGGAGCTACTGGGGTTCTCGTGTCATAACTATGCTCTATGTTCTCAGAGTAGAATGATGACTGCTAAAATAATGTCAAGTCTTCTACTCTTTTTCCACTCAGGAAGGAAAATTCAAAACTCCTTGCATCTATCCAGTACATCATGTTAGCTGTCAATGACACCAAATCCACTACTGCAGTGTTCCTTCTCACTGGGATAGTGGGCCATGAAGATGTCTACCTCTGGATCTCCATTCCCTTGTGCCTTGTTTATGCCATTGTGATAATAGGAAATACAGGTATTCTGTTCATCATAAAAACAGATCCAAGCCTCCATGAGCCCATGTACATTTTCCTTTCTATGTTGGCTATCACAGACCTTGGCTTATCAATAACCACCATGCCGACAACACTGGGCATATTTCTGTTTAACTCTAGAGAGATCAGCCTTGATGCCTGCTTTGCCCAGGTGTTCTTCATCCACTCGTTTTCATACACTGAATCCTCTGTGCTCGTGTCTATGGCCTTTGACCGCTTCATTGCAATCCGTGACCCACTGAGATATGCGTCCATCTTAACCCCACTGCGAATAGCCAAGATGGGACTGGTGTGTGTGATAAGAGGGGTGGCTTTACAATTCCCATTCCCCTTTCTCCTGAAACGCTTCCAATACTGGCGAGTCAATGTCGTCTCCCATTCCTACTGTATGCACAATGATGTCATGAAGCTGGCTTCTGCGGACATCACAGTCAACAATATCTATGGCTTTTTCATAATACTCTCCACGGTGGGGTTGGACTCTTTGCTCATCCTCCTCTCATATGTGATGATTCTCAAAACAGTGCTGAGCATTGCATCCCGCATGGAGAGCCTCAGGGCCCTGAACACCTGTGTGTCCCACCTCTGTGCCGTCCTGCTCTTCTATATACCAATGGTCAGTCTGGCTGTGATACACAGATTTGGAAATAGCTCATCTCATTTGCTTCAGATTTTCTTTGGATACATTTACGTGCTGGTGCCACCCCTGATGAACCCGATTGTGTACAGCATGAAAAGCAAGCAGCTACGTGTGAGGATCATCAGGATGTTCGTCAAGTAAAGAGTCAGCTCATTGCATGGGCCCAGGTGCGATGATGAAGGAGAAGATAATTATGGATCACATGCACTTCTTCCATCCATTCCCCAACATCTGTGATGACATGATCTACTGAGCTCCACTCTGCAGAGAGAGGTTCAGATGGGCTGGACCCAAGGGACGGGTAGTGTTTAAAGTGGAAACTGGATGTCTAATTAGTTGGCCTCTAAAAAGCCTTATTGGTGGCTGCTCTTACCTCTGGATTCCTCGTTTCCCATGACACCTCCCCTGACTCAGTCCCATCTGTGGATCTCATGCCCAGACTATGAAAATACCTATAGAGCTTTTGTGCCATCACAGTCCTGACCCTTTCTGAGGACTCTGGGTTGTGCATGCGCCAAAATAGCAGCACTCGCTATGGACAAGAGCTATTCAAGATGCACAGACACTCACCTTTCCCCTATGCCATCAGCTAGGTTCTAGTGATGGAGTCTTGAAAGAGACTTTCTTAATGCAGGAGCTACAGGACAAGCCAATAGAGGTCTCCACTGATGGCTATGCACATAGCACACCTGCTGATCCCACCCACGCAGGGAACGTAGAAGGTGCAAAGGAAGGTCTGACACACAGGAGTCCTGGCAGGAGATTCAAGCCCAGATTCCCTCCCCAGTCTCTCCATTTGTGCTTCCCCAGCAATGAAAAGGGTTGGAAATTCTCTTTTTCTACTTCAAAAAAGCCTTTGTAGGTCATCTCCCAGCCCAGCCCATTCTGAGTACAGTGATCATTTTTGAAAAAGTGGGACTCATGCAGGAACCCCATCTACTCTCTGTCCCATCCCATGACACCTTCATGTTCTTTTCCTATTCTTCCGCTCCCCTCGAGGCTTCTGACCCTCCTGCTCCTCCCCTTCCCCCAAGCTCTGGCCTCTGACCAGGCTTCAATCTGGAACTAGGCCATGGTAAGAGCTGCCTAGGGACTCAGGATCCTCCACCTGCCTTGGATGGAGGTTAGCAGGCACAAGAGCAGCCTCTAGACCATCTTCTTTCCCCCAAGGCACACCCCCATGGGAATGTGGAGAGTTTGGGGCTCTGCACCGCAGGCTGGCTTCCCTGGGCAGCTCCTAAAATGGACAGTTTCTGGCCCTGCAGGGAACCAAGACCTCAGGGGAAGAGGAGGGGCAGGTGAACAGGGCTACAGGGGAAGAAACTGCATGGGGTCAGATCTCAGGGGAAAAGTAGGAGCAGGAGATGTGACAGGGCTGAATGAACACTGACCCCAGCATGCAAGACGGTGGGCATCCTGAATCAAGGAGGAAGATTGGGCTGGGGAAGAGGAGACTTTGCATCATGGGAAAACTAAATTCCTATGACCACATAAGGGGGGCTCTGGTTTTCAGTATTTGAAGCTGGAGTGAGTCATTGCACATGTGACCCATATTCCGAATAGGCAGGTCTTTAAGAGACCCAAGCGTGGAGATAGGAGTGAGTTGTGTCTGGGTCATTTTTGCTTGGCAGATTTAGCACCCTATGCCCAGAAGCACGTGGAACTGGTTGTGGTTGATTTAGAAGAATCTGCTCCAATACGTTCCATCTTGATTGGCACAGACTCCATAATTAGAGCCCTGCAAATCTGTGAAAATCTCTATATCCGTGGAGATCGGTGTGGAGGCGGATACAAATTAGAGCTCTGGTCGTAATGGCAAGAGATAAGGACAGTGCTTTTCAAAGGGCCATGTGTTCTGCACAAATTGGTATACACTCAGTCCAGGATCTTAAAGCAGACTGTTTTCCCTAACTCTAAAGCATTTTGCAGGAGGTGAGTGGTATTGTTAAACCTGTAACTTGTTTCTTGCCATAAACACTTCCTGCAGCATGGGGCAGGGAGGGAGGAATGACTCTGCTAGAGCCGAAGCAAATGCCCCCTCTAAGAAATGAAGATGTTTGTGCTGTCAGGAAGGAGACTTGTGCCCTCCTTAGTACTCCTTGGTTAATGTCTTCACAGGACATAGCTAGAATGGATCTCCTGCACAAGTGATGAAGGCTACTGAATATCGTTTCCTTCCTGCTATATGATGTCCATGTCTCACTGCTGGAAAAGAGGATGCTGACTGTGACGTCTCACTACAAAAGTCAAGATGTTAGTCTTCATCATAAGCTTCTTGATCTTCCATGCTCACTTGGGGTACGTCTGGACTACAGGCTTTTGTTGACAGAGGCTTTGTCGACAGATACTGTTGACAAAGCTTCTGTCAACAAAGAGCATCTACACTACATTCAGTTCTGTTGACAAAGCAAGATGCTTTGTTGACATGAGAGTGTAGACGCAAAGGACAGTGTAGATGCAATAACACCTTTTGTCGACAGAACTTTGTGGACAAAAGGCGTTATTCCTCGTAGAATGAGGTTTACCACCATCAACAAAACTGCCGAGTTCTGTTGACGTTATGTCGACAGAACTTGGCAGTAGTGTAGATGCAGGTATAGTTGTACCAAGATTGGTGGCTGCCTTCCCAATTGGCATGTCTAACAGCTCATCCAATGACAAGTTCTTGTGAATAGTAGCTCCCAGGTAACAAAAAGAACCCACTGTGTGGAGATTGGTATTGTGGAGTGTAATGAGAGGCTGGCATTCTGTGCCTTGCCTCATGAATACTGTCTTCTTCACACTTACAGTGAGTGAGAACTTTCTACATGCCTCCTAGAGGATATTTACGAGCTCTTGTAGCTGAGCTTCACTATGAGAGACAAGAGCAGCAAATATCAGAGGGGTAGCCGTGTTAGTCTGAATCTGCAAAAGTGACGAGGAGTCCTGTGGCACTTTATAGACTAACTGAAGTGTAGGAGCATAACCTTTCGTGGGCAAAGACCCACTTCGTGACATGCATCTGACGAAGTGGGTCTTTGCCCACGAAAGCTTATGCTCCTACACTTCAGTTAGTCTATAAGGTGCCACAGGACTCCTCGTCACAAGAGCAGCAAAGTCAGCATAAAGGGATTTTCTGAGAGCAACCACTTGCACTTTGGTCTCTGTTATCAGTGCAGAAAGGTAGAACAGTTTCTCATCTGATCGTGTATGAAGAAAAACATCACCTTCTGCATTTTTGAATGCCTCGCTCAAAGGAACTGAATCAAATATTTCAAACACCCCAGGGGAAAAGTAGAGAAAAAGGGAAACCACTTCTTATTGCCTTCTTGGACCGGACCAAAGCTTGTGATGCACTTAGTAGATCCAGTCGGTACAGAGTAATTCAATAAATTGGATGCCTTGCAAAGCTCCTCAAACTCCTTTCCATGACAATATGGAACTTAATTGGAAGGAACTTGCTCTGAAAGTTTTTAAAGGGAATATTCTAAAGAGTCTAACTGACTAGCAACAGAGCAGTGGCCACAGGGGATGTATCTTAGATAGTCTGGCAGGGGGCAAGCTGTTTGAGGGCAAAGGTCAGCTACACACCATGGTTCACTAGAGGGACATGGCTGAGCCCTACTGTGAGCGGGTCAAGGTTCACACATGTTTCAATAAAGGTTGCTTCCATGGGATAGGGGCAAACAGACGGGAAGATGCTCTCAGAGACACGGGGAAACTAAGATGGGTCCCAAGGGCTCTTTGTTTTCCTAAAAGAAAGTAAACTGGGCCTGTTCTGTTTCTGTATAGCCTGATCAAGGCCTGCCTAACTTAGCTTATTGTCATAGGTGAGATAGGCAACAGTTGCTATTTACAACCATTTACTCTAATGCTTTGTGCTTGTTATTAATAAACCTACTTGTTTTAAGAAAACTATCAGTGACTGTGTTTCTCTGGTCACAAGCTCTGGAAGGGATGAGAATGAGGTGTCCTTTCGGACCTGTCTAGTAATAATCATTTAGCACAGATGAAGTGATATACCCCGCCCCAACAGTGGGGCAATTGTGATAGTCCCCCAATGACAAAGAGGGATCTGGTTTTGAGAGAAAAGAGACTATATATCTCTGGTTATGTCTAGACTACACCTTTTTTCATTTTGCATACCTTTTTCTGCCTTTTTGGGGGAAGAGGGTTTTCTGAAATTTGGTCTGTTTACGCTAGGCCAAATTTCGGGGAAAAAAACCCTCTTTCAGAAGATTGTGGAATGAGGAAGAGAGGGTATGTCTACACTAGCTCGTTAGTTCGAGCTAGGCAGGCAAATGAGGGCAACCGGGGTTGCAAATGAAGCCCGGGATTTAAATATCCTGGGCTTCCATTTGCATGTTCCCGGGCGCCGCCATTTTTAAATCCCTCTTAGTCCGAACTAACTGCCCACAGCTAGATGCGGCAGTTAAACGTTAGTTCGAACTAACTCCTTAGCTCGAATTAACTTTTACTCCTCATTCCATGAACATGCAAATGGAAGCCCAGGATATTTAAATCCCGGGCTTCATTTGCAACCCCGGTTGCCCTCATTTGCCTGCCTAGCTCGAACTAACGAGCTAGTGTAGACGTACCAACAGGGCTTCCAAATGAGTGCTTCTGCTCTTCCACAAAAAAAAAGCGGAAGAGCAAACGTGTTCTCTGGAAGCGGTGGAGGTTTTTTTGAGATACCTCCGGTGTCCTGAAACCCCCCTGCAATCTAGACATACCCTCAGTTTCTCTGTGAAAATCCCATTTCTCCTTTGGCAGCAAATACTGGTTTTGAGTGCATATGAATATTGAGAGTAACAACTTTTTCTAGTTGTGTCCATATTAGCAATCTACTCAACACAATAATTCACTCAGCCATATGATCTGATTGCTGCAATACAGGGCTTTAAAATCAAGACTAGTGTGGTAAAAATAGAGAAGGAATCATTAATGACTCTTTTCCACAACTAATGAACTATATCTCAACAAAGGAAATGAATAGACAGAAGGATTAAAACAAAATAAAGTATTGCTTCACACAGTCAACCTGTGGAATTTTTTTGTCAGAGGACATTATGAAGGCCAAGAATATAACAGGGAATTAGAGGAATTCATGGAGGATAGGTCCATCATTGGCTATTAGCCAGGATGGGCAGGGAAGCTGTCACTAGCCTCTGTTTGACAGAAGACAGGAACTGGGCAACAGCAGGTGGATCACTTGATGATTACCTGTTCAGTTTATTCTCTGTGAAGCACCTGAGATTGGCAACTGTCAGAAGACAGGATACTGGGCTACATGGACCTTCTCTTTTTAAAATTGATGCCTTATTTCAAAATGTAATGTGTCTGGCTGAAGAGAGATTGAAAACACCAGGGCTGTTAATCTTGGAAAAGAGAGGATCAAGGCAAGATATGACAGACATAATAAAACCATAAGGCTACGTCTACACTGCCGAGTCTTGCGCAAGAACGTATGCAAATGGGGTGTGGCGATGAATATCACTGTGCCTCATCTGCATACTTAATGAGCCACCATTTTTGAGCAAGGGGCCTTTTTGTTCAAGAAGGAGCAGTCTACACTGCTTCTTCTTGTGCAAAAACCCCCTCTTGTGGAAGAGCCATTCTGCTGCTTATTTTCAGGCAGAACAGCTCTTGCGCAAAAGCCCCTTGCCCAAAATGGTGGCTCAGTAAGTATGCAAATGAGGTGTGGCAATATTTATCGCTGCACCTGATTTGCATATGTTCTTGTGCAAGACTCGGCAGTGTAGACGTAGCCTAAGTGTTGTGGACAAAGTGAATAAGGAGATTTTGTTTATTGCTTGGAAAAGAGTAAGGGATACCCCAGAATGTTAAGAGGTATTAGGTTTCAAACCAACAAAACTATTTCTTCGAACAATGCACAGTGAGTCTGTGGAACTCATTGAACTGATGCATCTGACAAAGTGGGTCTTTGCCCACAAAAGCTTATGCTCCAACACTTCAGTTAATCTATAAGGTGCCACAGGACTCCTCGCTGCTCATTGAACCGGGATACTGTGAAAGTCCGAAGTAAAATTGATCAAAACCAATTGGATACAATTTGAGGAGAGTTCCATCTGTGGCTATTAGCCACTAAGGGCAGGGAAGCAAACCCATGTCCCTGAAACATTAATTTCGGAAGCTAGGAGTAGACTACAGGATACTTATTGCTCATGAATAAGCAATAAGTATTTTTGTTCATTCCCTCTGAAGTATCCGAACATAGTGACACCACTGTGATGTATATGGGGGACAGGGTCAAAATAGCTTTAGTCGTATCTGCCCCGGTGCTGTCATAAGACAGGACGCTGGGCTAGATGGACCATTGGCTATGCTTATATTTTTAATTTTCTTCACTGATGGATGGGCTGCTGTAGACAAGCCTGTTCTACAGGATCCCTTGGATTTAGAGCTGACATGGGCTCCCTAGGGCTGTGTCCAGACTCAGGGGTTTTTTCGGGAAAAGTAGCCTTTTCCTGAAAAAACTTCCCCTGCGTCCAGACTCAAGCCATGTTCTTTCGAAATTATTTCGAAAGAACGTGGCTTTTCTTTCGATGGCGGTAGACCTCGTTTCACGAGGAAGAACGCCTTCTTTCGAAAGTTCCTCTTTCGAAAGAAGGCGTTCTTCAATGTAAAGAGGCCGTCTTCGAAAGAGAGCATCCAGACTCGCTGGGTGCTCTCTTTCGAAAAAGCGGATTTCTCTTTCGAAAGATCCGCCTGCAGTCTAGACGCGATCTTTCGAAAGAGGCTCTTTCGAAAGAAGCCTGCAGTCTAGACATAGCCTAGGAGTTTTCCAGGGGCCTGGTGAGTGGGAGGCTGATGGGGGTGAGTGCTGCCACCTAGGGGTGTGGTCTGGTAACAACAACGACAGAGGCTTATGATTGTGAGCTAGAGCTGGGCTGGACAACAGAGAGTTCCACCCTTCCCCCAGAGAAAATTGTGGCAAACTAAAATGTTTCCTTTTCATCCATTTTGGATCATTTGTCTCTGAAAGCTCAGCTGCCCGGATGCTGTTCTCCTTCATTTGCCTCAGAGTGCCAGAGAAATGGGAAGTTTTTCATCTGCCTCTCTTTGTTAAGGCTGCACTGACATAATCAATGGATGTATTTTGGGATGAGGCAAAATCTCCTACTCAGGCTATGGCTGGGGTCCTGTGCCCATCAGCCACTCTGGCTACTGTTCCCAACTCTGTACAGATCCCTTCAGTCGATCCTGTGGGCAGTGGATACTGTGAGAGGCTGCAGAAGCACATCCTTGATGAGCCTGTGTGAGCAGGGAGCCAGAGACGGTCCTAAAAAAGTGGAGGACACAGAGAAACTAGGAGAGGGACATAGATGCCAGTGAATCACTGACGCCTGAGCCTACCTTTGGGGATCCCTGGTTCCCGGGTCTCCTGTTTTATTCTTCGGAGATAAGGGCAGGCACCTCCCCTCCTGGAACCATGTCAGGGGAATTTCCATACATGGAGCCTTGTGGAATCTCATAGAATCATAGAACTGGAAGGAACCTTGAGAGGTCATCGAGTCCAGTTCTCTGCCCTCACAGCAGTACCAAGCACCATCTACATCATAGAATCATAGAATACTAGGACTGGAAGGGACCTCGAGAGGTCGAGTCCAGTCCCCTGCCCTCATGGCAGGACCAAATACTGTCTAGACCATCCCTGACAGGTCTCTGTCTAACCTGATCTTAAATATCTCTAGTGATGGAGAGTCCACAACCGCCCTAGGCAATTTATTCCAGTGTTTAACCACCCTGACAGTTAGGAAGTTTTTCCTAATGTCCAACCTAAACCTCCCTTGCTCTAATTTGAGCTCATTGTTTCTTGTCCTATCATCAAGAGGTTAAGGCTTGGACATTGGGTTTGTAATGCAGACAAATGAGGCTGCCGAGGCAAAATCTGGTCCTTTTTATTATTAATTATTTATTGTTATTATTTTGTATTTTAATTCAGCAAGATCACATCTGTGATATCATCTTTGTTACCACTCAGCAACCCCCCAAGGGAGTCATGCATCTAATTGGAACCAGAAGAACCATGAGGACAAGCCCGGATTCCAACAATGGAGCCTACAGCAAGGTTGTATCCCCTGTGATTTGACCTTTGCAGTTTGCTATCGGACGTGACAGGGTTAAAGCTGCTGCCGACAAAGCCAAACAACTGAGGTTCCCTGATGGATAGGTGGACCCAAGGGAAGGTACAAACATGCTCCATAAATGCAGGTATCTCCCTATGTGAACACACACTGTCTGCTGCCTGTGCAAACTCTCTGCTTACTCCTTGACCTTTAGGGCGAAGACCTCTGTTGTCAGCGGCTCCCTTCTATCAGGAATTGGGTATGTTGGTTGGCAGGTTTCACTGTCTTTGAAATGTGAAGTGCAGGGCAAAGGCTACAAGATATTTCCATTGGCAGATATTCTGGGCAGCAAACTCAGAACTCAGCTGGGCTGTTCGGGTGACTTATTGATGGGCTGGAGGTCAGCTATTGCTAGCTATCTTGGGAACCCCTCCCTATATCTGCCCATGATTCATTAAAGGTTATTTAAGCCAGAAAGCTGACATTCAAAAAATGCTCTGAATGTCAAAACCCTGATGTCAGGATTTCTCAAGTGGTGCCATGCTCCACAATATATTACTCAAGGTACTCAGAAATCTGGCAATCCACTAATCCCTTCCCCTGCTCTGTTTGCTTAACCTTGTTTGAAATAAGAAGCCGATTCAGTCAGCAAGTGGGTGCTTTTGTAATACTTTCCCCCCTCACCTGCAACACATTTAGCTTCATTCCTTATCTGTCCCAGCATTCTAAAAGCCCCATCTGGTTGTGGGAAATGCATCACACAGCATCTTTGTTCTTATATTAGTAAAGATGTAGGAGTATTAAAAATCAAACCCAAAGTTCTCTCTAAGGCTAAGAAACAGGCTCTATTGCTAAGGTCCCTCTGACGTGAGAAATCATCTTTAAAAGTTCAGAGGGGAAAATGGGCTGACGTGTGTGCTAATATACAGATATGAAATCTTATGCATGCATGAGATCCTGTTTCGAACTACCTACTTGTGTGTGCTAATGTACAGATATGAAATCTTATGCCAAAACTTGTTCTCATAACAGAAATATTCCAAGCCAGACTTTGATATCATGCATACATGAGATCCTGTTTCGAACTACCTACTCCGTGCTGCGAGTAGCTGCGGGCACGGAGTTCGGACTAAGGGGGATATAAAAATGGCGGCACCTGGGAAGATGCAAATGAAGCCTGGGATATCTAAATCCCAGGCTTCATTTGGAACTCCGCTTGCCCTCGTTTGCCTACCTAACTCAAACTAACGAGCTAGTGTAGACATATCCTATGTGAGGATTGGCCTGTCTCTTAAGATCTGTGAGAATGAGGGATCATTTTCCAGGATAGGTTTTAGACTGTCAGTGATAAGTTGGGGGCTGTAAATGATGACTACTGGTGTTCTGTTATTTTCCTTGTTGGGCTTGTCATGAAGAAGCAGATTCCACGGTACTCATCTGGCTCCGTTAATGTTTCTTCACTTCCTCAGATGGATATTTAAGTTTTAAGAATTTCTGAGAAAGATCCTGTAGGAGTTTCTCTCTTTGTGAGATTGGAGCAAATCCAGTTGTATTTTAGGACTTGGCTATAAATAAATTGATTGTGCAATGGGTCCTGGATGGAAGCTAGAGGCATGTAGGTAAGAACAATGTTCAGATTTCCTGTACAGGGTAGTGGTAATGTGGCCATCATTTCATTGTATTACAATGTCAAAAAGGTGGATCTCATGTGAATTCTTGCTCCCCTGAGTATAAATCAGTAGTAACATCACTGAAATCAGCAGGAGCACAATGGTGTAATACCAGTGTAAACGAGTTCAGAAGCAGCACCCACTACATACACTTCATGGTGTGAGTCCATATGATAAAGATGTCTTCAATGTAGCATAAATAGAGTAAGGATACTAGGGGATGAGAGCTGAGGAAAAGTTGTTTGAAGTCAGCCATGAAGATGTTGGCATATTGTGGGATTATGCAGGTGCCCATACCTGTGTCATTGACTTGAAGGTATAAATTGTTCCCAAAACTGGAAATAATTCTGGGTGAGGACAAAGTCACAGAGTTCAGTCTCCAGGTGTGCAGTGGAATGATTGGGGGTAATGCTCCTGACAACTAATAATCCATCATTGAGTGGAATGTTGGTGTAAAGAGCTTCTACATCCCTGGTGGCCTAGATGGTGTTTTCAGGAGGGTTACTGATAGTCTGTAGTTTCCTCAGGAAGTCAGTGCTATCTTCAAGGTAGCTAGCAGTGCTGAAAGCATAGGCTTTGAGGAGAGAGTCAACATCATCAGACCATCCTGCTTAAGTGTGCTGATATTTGAGATGATGGGACATCTGACATTTCTAGGGTTATGAATCTAGTGTATCCATCACAAGCAATGACACTTACATCAGAGTTACACAGTCACTAATTTTGCAATACATGTGCAAGTCTTTCCAAAAAGTCCTCAGAGAACAGAACCACTGGTCTGTGTTTCAGCAAACAGTGGACGGGGGGTGCAGGGAAGGAGAATCTTGGGATTTAATCCCATCGCCTCTTATACATGCATGGTTTAAGTAACTTGCACACTCAATTGGATATTAGTGTAAACCCTCATGTTTCCACTAATCACACATTTTTGACACTATTCCGTTCCTCACATAAATGAAGTAACTGTCTGTTGTAGTATGTTAACATACTAAATATCTACAAATACTTGCATGGGGATTGGATACTGTTCCTATGAGAATGAGGAAAAGCCTGTAGGACAATTGAAAGCTCTGGATTCAGTCAACACTGGCCAGGCAAAGCCCTTCAGCTTCACTTGGAGGGATTCTTGGGGTTTAGAGGGTAACACTGGAAGCATTTGGTAAGGAAAAGTTAATAGAGCCTTGTTCTGATCTAATTTATACATATAAACCTGGCAATGTTGAATGTTATGTTATTGAGTCCAGATCTGACCCTATGAATTAATTCCATGTACTGCAGAAAGGCAAAGGCATACTGTGGAGTGGGAGGACTGGAGAAAATATGGAATGCCTATAACATAGCACCAGTGAAGGACAAATAAATACTATGAAGGTTCTCCCCATTCATTTTCCATGGCTTTTTGAAATGGGCCACAATCAGAAATGGATAGCTACAATCTGGGTGTTTGGGAAGGCCAACAATGTAAAGTCACACAGTGCTCAAGTAGGCAATGGAAATCCCAGCCACAATATTTCCATGAGGTCAAGAGCTTACTGGAATTCAGAGAGAGGTTGGATATTTTTATTAGTAACCAGCAAATTAAATTTCTGTCATGCAGATTAGCGGAGAAATCTTGGAAGGTCTTTAAATAGCCATAATTTGCAAGCCGAAACAGGTCTAATTTCTGGATCTCAGAAACGGGGGAGTTTTCCTGGGAGCAGGTCATCTCATAGCTGCCTATTGCAGGGCTTCCTCCACTTCATCTGCAGGTTCTAGAATTTAGCCACTGGATACTGGGCTACATGGACTACAGGTCTCCATGGACTACAGGTCTCATACAATCTGACAGCCCCTACTTTCCTATCAGAGGTGTTAAGCGCTCCACTAGTTCGAATTAAGTTCGAACTAGCAGTTTGCATGTGTAGCACCTATGAAAGTTAATTTGAACTAACGGCTGTTAGTTCGAATTAACTTTGTAGTGTAGACATACCCTTAGAGTTCTTCGAAGGGGTTAACAAACATGCGGACAAGGGGGATCCAGTAGATAGAGTGTACTTAGATTTTCAGAAAGCCTTTGAGAAGGTCCCTCACCAAAGGCTCTTGTGTAAATTACATTGCCATGGGATAAGAGGGAAGGTCCTTTCTTGGATTGAGAACTGGTTAAAAGACCGGAAACAAAGGGTAGGAATAAATGGAAAATTTTCAGAATGGAGAGGGGTAATTAGTGGTGTCCCCCAAGGGTCAGTCCTAGGACCAATCCTGTTCAACTTATTCATAAATGATCTGGAGAAAGGGGTAAGCAGTGAGGTGGTAAAGTTTGCGGATGATACAAAACTGTTAAGGATAGTCAAGAAAGAAGCAGACTGTGAGGAACTCTAAAAAGATCTCACCAAACTGAGTGATTGGGCAACAAAATGGCAAATGAAATTGAATGTGGATAAGTGTAAAGTAATGCACATCGGGAAAAATAACCCCAACTATACGTACAGTATGATGGGAGCTAATTTGGCTTTGACTAATCAGGAAAGATATCTTGGAGTTATCATGGACAGTTCTCTGGAAACTTCCACACAATGTGCAGCGGTGGTCAAAAAGACAAATAGGATGCTAGGAATTATTAAGAAAGTGATAGAAAATAAGACACAGAATATCTTACTGCCCCTGTAGAAAATTATGGTACACCGACACTTCAATACTGTGTACAGATGTGGGCTCCTCACCTCAAAAAAGATATTTTGGCCTTGGAAAGGGTTCAGAAAAGGGCAACTAAAATGATTAGGGGTTTGGAACGGGTCCCATATGAGGAGAGGGAGTTTAAAGCGACTGGGACTTTTCAGTTTAGAAAAGAGGAGACTGAGGGGGGATATGACAGAGGTATATAAAATCATGAGTGGTGTGAAGAGGGTGAATAAAGAAAAGTTATTTATCACTTGCCATAATAGAAGAACTAGAGGACACCAAATGAAATTAATGGGTAGCAGGTTTAAAACTAATAAAAGAAAGTTCTCCTTCACACATCGTGTAGTCAACCTGTGGAACTCCTTGCCAGAGGAGGCTGTGAAGGCTAGGACTATAACAGAGTTTAAAGAGAAGCTAGATAATTTCATGGAGGCTGGGTCCATAAAAGGCTATTATCCAGGGGATAGAAAAGGTGTCCCTGGCCTCTTTGTCAGAGGCTGAAGAAGGATGACAGGAGACAAATTGCTTGATGATTGTCTCCGGTCCACCCTCTCTGGGGCACCTGAGAGCAGACTGGTGCTGGCCAATGTCAGCAGACAGGCTACTGGGCTAGATCGACCTTTGGTCTGATTCAGTACGACCATTCTTATGTTCTTGTTTTCGTGTCATAACTGTCCTCTACGTTCTGAGAGCAGAATGACGTCTAGTAAAATATTGTCTAGTCTTCTATTTTTTTTCTCTCAGAAAGGAAAATTCAAAACTCCTTGAACCTACTCAGTACAACATGTCAGCTGACAATAACACCAAATCCACTACTGCAGTGTTCCTTCTCACTGGGATATCAGGGCATGAAGCTGTCCATCTCTGGATCGCCATCCCTTTGTGCCTTACCTATGCTATTTTGATCATGGGAAATACAGGAATTCTGTACATTATAAAAACGGATCCAAGCCTCCATGAACCCATGTACATTTTCCTTTCTATGTTGGCCATCACAGACCTTGGCTTATCAATAACCACTATGCCGACAACACTGCGTGTCTTCCTATTTAACTCAAGGGAGATCAGTCTTGATGCTTGTTTTGCTCAGGTGTTCTTCAACCACTCATTTTCATACATTGAATCTTCCGTACTCCTGTCGATGGCTTTTGACCGCTTCATTGCTATCCGTAACCCACTGAGATATGCTACCATCTTAAACCTGCCAAGAATAGCCAAGATGGGACTGGTGTGTGTGCTAAGAGGGGTGACTGCAGCGTTCCCATTCCCCTTTCTCCTGAAACGCTTCCTATATTGTGGAGCTAATGTCCTCTCCCATTCCTACTGTAGGCACCAGGAGGTAATGAAGCTTGCTTGTGCAGACATTACAGTCAACAATATCTATGGCTTGGTCATAATGCTCTCCACAGTGGGATTGGACTCTTTGCTCATCTTTCTCTCATATTTGATGATCCTCAAAACTGTGCTGAGTGTCACGTCCCGCACGGAGTGCCTGAAGGCACTGAACACGTGTGTCTCCCACCTCTGTGCTGTCCTGCTGTATTACACACCAATGATTGGTCTGTCTGTGATACACAGATTTGGAAATAGTTCTTCTCAGTGGCTTCAGATTCTCTTTGGATACATCTACCTGCTGGTGCCACCTCTGATGAACCCGATCGTGTACAGCGTGAAAAGCAAATACCTGCGTGCAAGGATTATCAGGATTTTTGTCAAGTGAAGAATCAGTTCAAGAGATAGATTCATCTCTGGTGATGATGCGGGAGAAAACTATGGGTCACATGCACATCTCCCATCATTGGCTCTTGTGATTTATCCTGCCCCCATGCTGTATGTAATTAACTTATGAATACGAATATTCATAACTCAAAGATGCTTTGGCCAAAGTATCTCATGTAACCTAACAATTTTAATGTCTCAATCTGCTAGATCTGTGTATCTTATTTCAGTGTATGTATCATTCTTGTGTGTAAAGTTAAAAATATAGGGTATGGAATGCTTTCTGGCTTCAAATGTAAAAATGAAAGCCGTCAAGGGTGTTTCCTTCAATACCAGAGTAATGTTTTGTAAAGATCCTCGTTTGTCTTTTAAGTCTAAACATAGCTTGGTTTTGGGAAGTCATGGGATCCGCCTAAATAGGAGGAAAACACCAACAAATGGGTTGGTAGCACTTTATAGACTAACAAAACATGTAGATGGGATCATGAGCTTTTGTGGGCACAGCCCACTTCTTCAGATGTCAAGGTAATTTTCCATGGAAGAGTGGCAAATAGAAACAGAATTCCCATTTAAAAATGGAGGTTCTGGAGTGGGGACAAAAAAGAGGGATACAGTGTGCCAGAGGAGGTTGCCAGAAAGTAGGGTAGGTCTGGGGGTGCAGGATCTGGACTGGAGGAGAGGTGAGAGTGAAAGGTCTGAGTAGACAGAGGGTAGGCTGTCTGAATGGGGGAGGGTGCAGGAGCAGGGAGGGAGTAGGATGTCTGCGAGGGGAAGGATTCAGGAGTAGACAGAGGGTAGGCTGTCTGAATGGGGGAGGGTGCAGGAGCAGGATGGGGGTAGAGTTTCTGAGGAGGGGAAGTTGCAGGAGTGGGCTGGGGATATGGGGTTTCAGCTGGAGGTGCGTGTGTGGGGGGTGTAGACTCTGGGCATGAGAGGAAGAGGGAGAACTTGCTTGCCTTTGCACCCCCAGCCACTCCCAGCATCATGTCCCAAGCATAGTTTCTCACCACTTCCATTGGCCAAAATCCGGCCAATTGTAGCAGTTTGGAAAGAGTCCCGGCAGCGCATCCACGTGCTGCTGTAACCCCAACTAGAGGAGAGAAAGCACCAGTATGTGGAGCTGCTTCTGGCTCTGCTTAGTCCCTGTAAGGCGGATCCAGCGGGGAGGCTTGGAGCTTTCTCCTGCTCCCTCCCCTGCTCCAGCGGGAAGCCAACACCGGTGCTGCAACCTCACAGAAGGACCGCAAGGCTGGAGCACCAAACCCCCTGCAAGTTGGCTGCAGAAGTGGACTGCTGACCGCCGTTTGAGAACCACTGGTTGAGTTGGTCTGGCTGGGAGAAAGCAGTCAGACAAAGGTCAGCTTCACAGGTTGACCCTGAACAGTCATTTAAGGTATCAAGAAATTTAATCTCTGCATCCCAACCTGACGTGTAACCAGTCAATATGAGGATAGTTGAAATCCCCTACTTTTATTGAGGTTTTTTTTATTTTGGTATCCTCTCTAATCTCCCTTAGCATTTCATAGTCACTATCACTGTCCTTATCAGGTGGTCGATAATACATCCCTACTGCTATATTCTTATTATTGGAGAATGGAATTAATACCCATAGGCTACGTCTACACTGCAGGCTTTTTGCGCAAGAACTGTTTTGCACAAGAGTTCTTGTGCAAAAGGTCTTGTGCAAGAGTGCATCCACACTGCCATGGGTGCTCTTGCGCAAAAGCATATCTCTTGTGCAAAAGCACATGGCAGTGTGGATGCTCTCTTGCACAAGAAAGCTCTGATGGCAATTTTAGCCATAGGGCTTTCTTGTGCAAGAAACCCCTGTTGCTTGTCCACACTGCCTTCTTGTGGACGAGCTCTTGTGCAAGAGGGCTTATTCCTCATGGGGAGAAGACTAACTCTTGCGCAAGAAGCCCTGTTTTCTGACGCTTTACTGTAAATTTACTTGCGCAAGCATGCGCGTGCAGTTTTTGCACAAGAACAGCTGTTTTTGCGCAAAAAGCCTGCAGTGTAGACGTACTAGAGATTCTATGGAACGTTTTGGCTCATTTAAGATTTTTATTTCATTTGATTCTACATTTTTTTTCACCTATAGTGCCATTCCCCCACCAGTGCCATCTGTTCTGTCCTTCTCATATATTTTGTACCCTGATATGACTGTGTCCCATTGATTGTCTTCATTCCACAAAGTTTCCATGATGCCTATTATATCAATATCCTCCTCTAAAATGAGGCACTCTAGTTCACCCACCTTATTATTTAGACTTCTAGCGTTTGTGTATAGGCACTCTAAAAATTTGTCACTATTTATCTGTCTGCCATTTCCTGATGTGACAGACTCGTTCATTTGATTGTGTCTCATCTGATCTGACCCGTACTTCCATCCTCTCCTCCTGATTGGAACATAGAGAATCTCTATTAATAGACCCTCCCCTAATAGATGTCTCTGTCTGATCCATGTGCTCCTCCACACTTGTCTGCTTTCCTGCAGCCCTTAGTTTAAAAACTGCTTTACGACCTTTTCAATGTTAAGTGCCAGCAGTCTGGTTCCATTTTGGTTTAGATGGAGCCCATCCTTCCTGTATAGGCTCTCCCTATCCCCAAAGTTTTCCCTTTCCTAGTAAATCTAATCCCCTCCTCTCTATACTATCATCTCATCCACACATTGAGATTCTAAAGCTCTGCCTGCTTACCCGGCCCTGAGCGTGGAACTAGAAGTGTTTCAGAGAATACTACTATAGAGGTCCTGGATTTCAGTATCTTTCCCAGCAGCCTAAATTTGTCCTCCAGAACCTTTCTGCTACCCTTCCCTATGTCACTGGTATCTATATGTATCACGACCACCAGCTTCTCCCCAGAACTACACGTGAGTTTACCTAGATGTCTCGAGAGCTCCGCAATGTTTGCACCAGGCAGGCAAGTCACCATATGGTTCTCCCTGTCATTGCGAACCCAGCTATCTAGGTTTCTAATGATTGAATCCCCCATTACTAACACCTGCCTTGATCTAGTTCTTGTGTTATTTACTCCTTCTTATAACACTTGCTTATCTACTTTCTCCACACCAGTCACGAATTCACAGACCTTTATCACATGAAACATATCATAGCACTATGAATCATTGTCTTGAAGGTATTGGTTTTTTGGATGGCATTTGAAGAAAATTGCTACTCTGAATGTTTATATGCACTGGATAAAAATATGTGCTGGCTAAGAAGAATCAGGATTGTCATATTAAAACCAGGATATATGGTCTCTTTATCCTCTAACCAAGATTCTTTCCTGTCTTGAGGGTAAATCTCACAATTTTTACACTCTCTGGGCAGGGTACAAAGCTCAGTCTATGTTACATGCCTATCACCAAGCAGGTCACACTGCATATTTCAGTCTCTAACCTTTGGGTGCTTGGGTCCTGAGCAGTGTTCCCTGTAAGCTATGCTGTAGCACAGCTTTACAGGTGATTAATCAGCCCCACCCACTCAGTTAGATCCATGCAAGGAGCCCTGAGCCTATGACTGGGTGGGGCTGATTAATCACCTGTGAAGCTGTGCTGCCCCACAGCTTAGAGGGAACACTGGTCCTGAGGTATACAACCATTCCCAGCCTGCTTAAAACAAATGTTCATTAGCAAACAGCACTGCATACATCTACCGTCATCTGGCATAGCAAACACTTTGCTATGGAGATAGAGAAAGCAGAAGCGGCCCAATTTGCAGCCTTTTGGGAAGTGAAGGAGCTCTTGGGACCCAGCTCAGTTTCCCTGTGGCTCTGAGAGCATCTTCCTATCTGTTTGCTCCATTCTTGCGGAAGCAGCTTTTGTCCAGCTGGGCCCAATTGCCATAACGCTCAGCTATGTCCAAGTTACAAGGCCAAAGTGTGAAGCGGATCCTCGCCCATAAGCTGTCATGGCTGTTGCTCCATTGTTCGTCAGTTAATCACATTGGCTGTGTCTACACTGGCCCACTTATTCCGGAAAATTAGCCGCTTTTCCGGAATAAGCTGCGAGCTGTCTACACTGGCCCTTGAATTTCTGGAAAAGCAACAACGCTCTACTGTACAAAATCAGCTGCTATTCTGGTGTCTAGCCTGGCAAGTTTTTCCGGAAAATCAGCCGCTTTTCCGGAAAAACTTGCCAGCTGTCTACACTGGCCGCTTGAATTTCCGCAAAAGCACTGACTTCCTACTGTAAGAAATCAGTGCTTTGCAGAAATACTATGCTGCTCCCGTTCGGGCAAAAGTCCCTTTTGCAGAAAAGGGCCAGTGTAGACAGCTCAGATTTGTTTTCCACAAAAAGTTTTTCCGGAAAATCAGCCGCTTTTCCGGAAAAACTTGCCAGCTGTCTACACTGGCCGCTTGAATTTCCGCAAAAGCACTGACTTCCTACTGTAAGAAATCAGTGCTTTGCAGAAATACTATGCTGCTCCCGTTCGGGCAAAAGTCCCTTTTGCAGAAAAGGGCCAGTGTAGACAGCTCAGATTTGTTTTCCACAAAAAAGCCCCGATCGCGAAAATGGCGATCGGGGCTTTTTTGCACAAAAGTGCATCTAGATTGTCCATGGACGCTTTTCCACAAAAAGTGCTTTTGCGGAAAAGTGTCTGTGCCAATCTAGACGCGCTTTTCTGAAAATGCTTTTAATGGAAAACTTTTCCGTTAGAAGCATTTCTGGAAAATCATGCCAGTCTAGACGTAGCCATTCAGACATAAGGGCTTACAAACACTGGCCCAGGGACCGTGCTGAAACTTCTAGCATCCCCATAACACTATAACATTCCCCTCAAAAATCCACTGTCTAACCCTCGCTGCCCCAAGCACCGTAGGGAATCAAACCAAGCTATCCTGAGTGACAGGCCAGTGCCCAGACCTCTGAGCTGTGACAGGTGCAGCTGGATTCTCTATTATGCCAGCAGATATGTAAAACATGTAGCCAGATACGGTATTTTAATTATCTGGCCTGTCTCAATGGACTTTTGAGCAGCCCGGGGGTTGAGCTGACTT